TTCTTTTTTTTTGTTTTTTTTGTTTCAATATTAATTTCGTCTTCTGTTGTTTTGTGTAAATCTTTTAATAGTTCAGTTGGCAGCCAAGGAACTTCATAGTTTTTGGTGTGGCCTGGATTATTTTGGATTTATACTGCTTTTTTCTTCTTCTCAGCCATTTCTTTGCCTTCAAGTCATGTCTCTATTTTTATTTTTCTTTTGTTTTTGTTTCTTCCGCTTCATCATAGTGTTCTTCTATTATGATCTTATGCTTTTTTCCTCTCTCATTTCCTCTTTTGATTTTATAAGTGATTTCTTAAATAATTCAGTTGGCAGCCAAGAACATTGCTGAAACACCTTTTAGTTAGTTGTGATACATGTTGTTAGCAATATAAGAAAAATACTTGAACCTTTTTTTTAACTTTATTATTGTAATAATACTATTGTTGATGCCTAAAAAATCGCACAGTACGGATTCGGCCCAAATCCCACAAGACGACCCAAGGTATGATACGTGGACTCAAGCCACGCTTCGGGACTTCTACGTGGGCCGTGGTTTGGTAGGTTAAGGAATGTAAACGAGCCCATTTTATCCAGTCCAATTAGACCCTCGGCTCACTTGGGAGGCCTCGGGTTTATGAGGAATTTAGGATAATGTGGGTTATGGAAGAAATTAGATAGAGTAAAACAAATAACCTAAGCTTACAGTTACCACCTTTACGGTTCCAAACCTTTTATAAATAGTCTAGAAAAAGCCTATTGGTCCATTACCTTGCACTAAAAGATAAAATGGCATTTTCCCCATATCTTTCCTTTTTCCCTCTCATTTCCCTTTCCTTCTTGGAGGTCATACACGGCCTCTTCCCCAAAATCATAAAAAAAGGTAGGTAAGCACAAATAAGGAAAAGCAAACTCTTAATCCCTTGGCTGCTTGCTCTAGCTTCACCTGAAATAACCAAGAGATCTCCTATTGGCTGCTCAGCAGCCCATCCCTGCATCTTATTGGCAAGCTTTTACTTGTAGGAGGTGAAAGCCACCACTAAACCATGCTGAAAATGTCCTACCAATGCAGCTATATGTAGAGGCTTTAGCCAAGATTCAAACACTCTTGGAGGGAAATTTCCCTCCTCTTGGAACCCCCATCCTTGCCTATAAATACCACATCCCTACACTTTGAAAAACGGGGGGGGGGACGGGGGCGGGGGGGGGGGGGGGGGGGGGGGAGAGAGAGAGCAAGCCAAACATAGCTCTCCCACTTAAGAGAAACTCTTCTCTTCTCATGATTTATGGCGAAGCTCCTCCGAGCAACTAATGCTCGGGCATTCTTCCCCAAGCTAAACACACATGAAAACCCAACATCAACAACCTAAATACAAGACTAAAACCTCCTCCTTTTGTTAGTTACAACTCTTGATTTTTCACTTACCGAAATACTCCTCAAAGAGCTCTAATCTCCATAACTTCCGGCGGAGTTCCTCTAGAACGTGTTTCTAGGTGTTCTCTCCATTGAAAGTGGTTAAAGCTTTGGATAACCTCTCAGAATACGCAACCATGGCTTAGAACACCCAAAGTTTACTTTTGCTGACCGACGTACTACATCCGTCGCGGTCCTACAACTGGTTTTCAGAAACATGTGAATATGGCTTATCACACATCTAAAAGCTTCGAGGAGTCTCTAGAATACACAAAACAACAAGCTCAGAAACTCTCCTTTTAGCCAGTTATTCACCTCTTAGATTTTGGTTTATGGGAATGCTTGACGAAGAACTTTAATCTCCATAACTTTCGGCGGAGTCCCTCTAGAACAAGTTTCTAGGCGTTCTCTCCATTGGAAGTGGTGAAAACACCTCAGCCATAGCCTAATATTTCTAAAACTAAGCCTTATCCCGTCCAACATACTATGTCCGTCGAAATCGTTCTATTCACAAACAAATGGATATAACTCAATTACATGCTTAGGAACTTTCTCCATAAACCGGTTACATTCCTCTCCCACGCCATATGCTCACTAGAAGTCTTCATTGGAAACTCTTTACTATCTCGGAGCCGGAATCGCAACGGATGTCTCCCTCAAATACCGCTGTCCTCAAGGTCATCTGGGTTTAGCCTAACCCAGCCGGGGCCAACGTCTTCACTTCCGCCATCTTCGACGTCAAAAATCACACTTAGAAGCTCATTAGCCTCTGTGGACCGACGTACTGACAGGGTACGACCAACGTACATATAACATCGACCAACTAAATGAGGCCACGAGTTTTGCACCTTCCACGACGACAGGCCCGCGCCAAAAGAGCCCCAACAACTATTAATTAAATAAAAAAATTAATTATATGTTCCTTTTTATTGTTAGGTTCATTAAAAGTGTTTTATCATTAGTTTTTTTTTTCGTGTATCTATCTGCTATTTTTTATTTTTTTTACAGTTGTAATTTATTTTCTCTTTTCGTTCAACAGCTAAATACAAATATCGTCTTTTTTTATGTACGGACAGACAAAATATTTGTATCTAACGTGTTTACTATAGCATATGCAATGCAATAAATGATGTTTATTTTTTTTTTTAAGAAGAGTTATCATTCATTGTATTTTTTAAAACATCGGTAGTTTCAATGTATTTCAGTTAATTGTAGTAGATTTGACGTTTTGTTCAGGATTGTATTCCTGAACAAGAGAAAAAGAAGGCAATTCTGTCCGGCTAATTGTTCGTTCCTGTGAATTTCTCTTTCACACAAAAGTGAGATATTGAGCATAAAAGATAAGCTTTGTATATTTTATTTGTATTTTATGTAAACATAACAAGATTTGTAAACATATCAATAACTCTATAACTGATTGTTACATTATTTATTTTAAATTTATTATTACATAAATAAATACACCGCTAACTAACGTTAGTCCTTTCCTCTTTTACACTGATCTAAATAGTAAGCTTTTCGCAATATTGTAGTGTAGACTCTTTTGTATTTAGCTTCTTACCTACTTTATTTGCTCTTCACTTCCCTACTTTTCTTAATTTGCTACCGCATTAGATTAAATTGGCCACTCATCTCTTTATTTTCTCATTGTTCACAGTTCTTTCGCTTGCCATATAAATTGACTTATTTATACGATGATGAAGATATTCCATATCTAAGCCACCATTATTGTACAAGGATCATATTTATTCACATATTATCAACTTCGCTAACTGCTTTTCATACTTTATGTTCCTCATTTATTCACTTTCTAATTCATTCACATTTTGATACATGTCATGTTCCTGCTCTTCATTTTATTTATAAACCTTGTTCCTGCTCTTCATTTTATTTACAAACTTTGTTCTTGCTCTTCATGTTATTTATAAACTTTGTGCAGAGATGTCTTATTACATAGGATTTTTAATTTCTTTGCTCATTTATGATTCAACAAGCTCAGAATACGCAGATGCATATGCTAATTCATTCACTTATATTGTCTTTTGTTGATAAATTTAATTTATTCATTATTCCTATTTTATTATTTAATTTTGTACATAATTTTATATAGCAGTGCAAATATTAAACTTTTCTTGTCATATACATTTTTAATGTTATTTAGTTTATTCCAGACATATAAAGATGCAGACATAAATATTATTTAGTTTCCCAAACATAAAAATGCAGATATCAATTTACTACACAATTTTTTAAGTCGTGCTTTTCACCTGTCTTTAGTTGGCTGATGTTCCCTGCTTAAGGCAGTGTTTAAACAGTTTGATAGTGTTGCAGGTACGGTTAATAACCATTGTCCAGATCTTTTTAATGTCTGCTATTGATATTGGATCCTGTGACCGTCTTCTTCTTATTTTTTTGAAAAAAGAGAGGAAAAGAAAAAAGAAGACCTGAAACCCAATTGCAATGTAAATAATCTCTTATAACATCATGTAGACATATTCATGTATAGATATGTATATATAAATTATACTCTGCTATAAAAATTATTAGCTCTTTACATAATACAAAATTATTACCTGCTGCAATGCCGGGGATAATGTTAGTAAAATCCTAAAATCCATAAAAGACTTAAAAATATTGTTCTTCACTTTACTCCTATAAGAGTAACTTTTTTTACATGTATTCCTATTTATTTTTAGTTGGTTAAAATAATTTCTTTAAATGCGTATCTACTTAATTTTTATGTCAATTGCTATCTTCACTACAAGAAAAGACTAAGGTCTCGTTCATTTTACCGATTCGAGTTTTTAATTTTAAGTTTCTACAGTAAAAAGCTCTCAGAAAATGTTACATCTAACTTTTTCTGTTAGAGTGAAAAGCTATCAGAAAATGTCACATCTCAACTCGAATTGAAAACTCGAATCCGTAAAGTGAACGAGACGACATCAAACAACAACTATTTCTCACACAGCTATTGTTCAAAGGAGTATTATAAATTGGAATGATTTAATTGCAGTTATTTTAAATCACTATAGTTAAAAATAATTATTGTAAATTCAAAATCAATCTAACGACAGTCATTTAAACAACCCATCAACATATTTGAATAATTTTCTCGTGACTTTCGCTCAAGAAATCACACACGAAATCATGAATTCTCGATCTTTTGGGTTTCGTTCACTTCGCAGATTCGAGTTTTTAATTCGAGCTGAGATGTTACATTTTTTGAGAACTTTTTACTGTAGTAAAAAAAGTTATTGTAAATTCAAAACCAATCTAACGACAGTCATTTAAACAACCCATCAACATATTTGAATAATTTTCTCGTGACTCTCGCTCAAGAAATCACACACAAAATCATGAATTCTCGATCTTTCGGGCCTTGTTCACTTCGTGGATTCGAGTTTTTAATTCGAGCTGAGATGTGACATTTTTTAAGAACTTTTTATTGTAGTAAAAAAAGTTAAATATAATATTTTTTAAAAATTTTTTATTATAAAAATTTAAAATTAAAAATTCAAATCGGTGAAATGAATGAGGTCTGACAGTTCATTCGTAATTTCAACCTTTATGCTTAAACTCCTACCACGCTTGTTATCTAAAAAAAATAAAAAACAAAAAGTAAAAAAAAAACTCCCACCACGCCTCCCCCTCTGACCCCCACCATCTCAATCCATGACCATCTCCTTCACTCGGCCGGACGGCCACTCTGAGCTCTTCCGCGACTACTGCGCCGACGGCCGTCGCTCTCAGCCCAACTCCATCTGCTTGTGTCTGGCTCCGTCGGTCACTCCGTCAAGCTCTAGAAGTTTCCTGGTGATTTGAATTTTTTTTTCTATAATTTGGCTTAAGTTCTTTGTTTGTTTTATCTTATAATTTCAGACGTGGATTTCTTGAAGTAATCGTGCTTGATTGATTTTAGCATCCCCTCTCTGTGTGTTAGGTTTTGTTTATGAAACTTCTAATTTGACAAGCTTAATTTGTACGCGGTTAGTTTTCTTTCTTCTCTTTTTCGTTTTTGGATGTTGCTTTAAACTTTTGTTCTGAAATTTCTGATTTATTTTCCTATATTTCGTTCATAGCTCTCTCTCTCTCTCTCTCTCTCTCTCTCTATATATATATATTCTTTTGAAAAAAAGCCCCAATTCATATCAACACCAGTTTGCAGAAAAAAGAAGAAGAAATCTAATCCTAATTTCTCTCCCATTCCAACGGGTAAAAGAAAAGAGAAAAAATGCCTTTAAGCTTCAATTTCTAAAATCATGAGATCCATGGTCTAATTTTTTTTTTATTTCTTTTTTTAGGAAATCAATAATTAGTTCATGGGTTCTAGCTTTATAGTACAATGGTTGGTCTGGTGAGTGGTGAAGTCTAATGTTTAAATTGGTGTTTCGATCTTTGATAAAGACAGAATGAACTGCTTTGGACCATTGTACCATGAATAAAAAACATGGATATTAGAGCACATATTTAATCGAGGTATTGTTTTGCCAGTTTCATACACTTGTTTCTCTTTTGCAGTTCTTTCTTGAAAGTAACAAAACTAAGCAATATCACTAACACTCTTGAATATGTATCAAAACATAACTTTATTTTATTTTATAAAATCAGCAAAACAATAATGTCTGACATTTGTCATTTCACTGTGAAATAACAAATTACATCCTACTTTATGGACACATTTCCAACAGTATTAACTTAGGGTATTAATATCTAACATTTAACATTTCATAAGACACGTCGTCATAAAATTTTCAAACAATTTTGAGGAAATATTGAAAAGTACAAACTAAGCGAATTCTGTCTAGGAGGCTGGGTTTTGTTAGTGTTCTATGCCACCAGTTTTTCTTAGGAACATTGCAAGCGAATTCTGTCTAGGAGGCTGGGTTTTGTTAGTGTTCTATGCCACCAATCTTTCTTAGGAACATTGTTCTATCTAGGAGGTTGGTTTTTAAGGAGATTCCGCCCTACTAATCTTTCCTAGGAGCACTCTTAGGGTTGCGATTCACAGTTCTACAATATTGTTTTCTTTGTTTAAAAAAATTTAAAAAATTTAAAAAATTTAAAAAAAGTGAAACGTTTTAGGGTGAAAGAATCGTTATAGAGACGAATTAGAGAGATTTGCAGAAGACTAGAAAACCATAGTGAAGCTTCTTCACACACGTCTAGTCCTCCATCGACCCCAGCCTCATTAGCAGTTGAAAATCCATTTGCGATGGCTCAAAATGAGGAGGTTCAATTGAAGACATTGAATGATTATCTTCACCCTACGCGTATGGCCACACCGTCATGCATAATATTTCCCCCCAATATGCCGAATTTAGATTTCAAGCCGGGCATGATCCAACTCTAGCTGACTTTTCATAGATTAGAGAGCGAGAATCTATATGTACATATTAGGGAGTTTGAAAAAGTGGTGGCCACCTTTCACAACCGAACTGAAGCCGCAGACTCTGTGCGATTCAAATTGTTCCCTTTTTCTTTGAAGGACAAGGCTAAAAGCTGGTTGTATTCTTTGAGGCCTAGGTCTATTAGAACTTGGGAAGAAATGACGACAGCATTTTTCAACAAATATTTCCCGCACCATAAGACTAATGGTCTGAAGCGACAAATCTCGACCTTTACCTAGAAGGACAATGAAACTCTTTATCGAGTTTGAGAACGGTTCAAGGATCTGTTAAATCAGTGCCCACACCATGGTTACGAGAATTGGCGCCTCGTTAGTTATTTCTTTGAAGGACTCATGATCCGAGAGCACCAGTTTGTGGAGATGATGTGCAATGGTGAGTTTCTCCAAAAAGACTCCAAAGAGGCTTTTGAGTATCTTCATGAGTTAGCTGAAAAAGTCCATACATGGACTGGACCAAGTGCTACTAATAGCACCAATCGGTCCCGGCTAGCTGAAATCTACCAACTAAGGGAAGATGACAACCTCAAAGCCCAAATTGAGTCTTTGACACGACAAATTGAGACCCTCAAAACTAAATAAGGTAGAGGAATTCACATGGTTGCTAGGGCAGAGTTACAAGAGCCCTGCTTCGTTTGTGAAGGGATGGAGCATCTAGCTAAGGATTGCCTTGCTTACCATGAAATGAGATGGGTTTACAAGGAGCAATGCAATGCCTTAGGGACATACAACAAACCTTTCTCTAACACTTTCAATCCTGGCTGGAGAAACTATCAAAATTTCAGTTGGAGAGACTTCAACCAAGCACAACCATCAGGAGGACAATGGAGAACTGAGTAACAACCGCAACCACCAAAGGCGTATCATGCACCTCAATACAATGCACAACAACCAAGGAGTTCTTTTGATAACACCTTGCAATCTTTCATGGAGGCGCGGAGTAAGATTAATCAGAAGTTTGAGTCACTGTTCACGCAAATGGTGGAAGAAAGTAAAGAGATGAAAAGTCAGATCACGAAGCTGATTGGAGCTTTTACTGTTCAAGAACGCGACAAGTTCCCTTCACAAGCTCAGTCAATCCCAAAGGGCCAACATATGGCACAAACCTCATGTCCTGATAATCAAAATATTTAGGAGGTGAATGCCATCATTACTCATAGTAGAAAGATTTTAGAAGGACCATCAACAAGTGTCACTACTTCGAGTAGTAAGGAAGTTGTGCCTGAGAAAGATGAGACAAAGAATATTTCGGTAAAGGTGCCTTTTTTCCAAACTCTGCATCCAACTGGGAAAGTGTTGGAACACCAAAGTGAGATCCTAGAGCACTTGACTCAAGTGAAGATTAATCTTCATTTGCTTCATATTATCAAGCAAGTGCCTACTTATGCTAAGTTTATCAAGGATCTGTGCACGGTCAAGAGGAAGCACCATGTCAAGAAGACATCATTCTTGACAAAATAAGTAAGCGTGGTGATCGAGCAGAAAACACCGCCTAAGTACAAAGATTCCGGTTGTCCCACAATTTCCTGCCGGATTGGGACTCATGAGTTCAGTCAAGCTTTGCTTGATCTAGAAGTGAGTGTTAACCTCATGCCATATTCTGTCTACTTGCAACTTAGACTTGGAGAAATTAAGCCCACATTTGTGGTTTTATAGCTGGCTGATAGATCAATCAAGAAGCCTCGGGGGATAGTTGAGGATGTTTTGGTTCAAGTTAATAAGTTCTATTATCCTGTTGACTTTATAGTCCTGGATACTCAATCTGTGGTGAGTATGGAGTCTAAGATTCTTATTATCCTCGGAAGACCTTTTCTTACTACAGCTAATGCTTTCATCAACTGTAGGAATGGTCTGATGAAGATATCCTTTGGGAACATGACTTTAGAGGTGAATGTATTTCACGTTGCGAAGCAACAATGTGATGAAGATGAGTGTCGCCAAACATTTCTGATTGACACACTTGTCTCGGAGGAGGTTCAACTGTATAGCGATTACGATGATCTTGATGATTTCCTACGCATTTCTGAATCTGAGAGTTCCGGTCCTTGTGAGTTGGCCAACAATGTTGCTATCTTCAAAGACTCACAAGGCAGAGGAACCAAGTTTTGGCGATCATGCTTTGAAGAGCTACCTTGAGAAAAAGAGGAGCCAAAACCATCCACCAAAGAGACCCCAACACTCAAGCTAGCTCAACTGCCTGAGAATCTGAAACATGTCTTCCTGAGAGCTGGTGATACCTTTCCTGTTATCGTTTCATCTAAACTTGATGCATTCCAAGAGCAGCGGTTAGTTGATATGCTGTGTGAGCACAAATCGGCATTGGGTTGGATGATTACAGACATTAAGCGTATTAGCCCCTTAATTTGCTCCCATCACATCAATTTGGAAGACGGGGTTATTCCACGAAGGGATCCCCAAAGGAGGTTGAACCCGACAATGAAAGAAGTCATGAAGAATGAAGTCTTGAAGCTTCTAGATGCAGGAATCATCTATTCAGTGGCTTATAGCAAGTGGGTCAGTCCAACTCAGGTAGTGCCTAAGAAATCAGGGGTGACAGTGGTGGAGAACGAGAAAGGGGCTCTTGTGCCCACAAGGAGTGTGATTGCTTAGGTGATTTTGCTTGTTTTGATTTGAATTTTCTACTTGACTTGATTTTTTTTTCGCTTGAATTGCTAAGGACTAGCAATAAGTTGGTTTGGGTTTGTGATAAGTGCACAAATATGCACTCTTTGGTGTACATAATTGTCAAATAAATTAAGTTTTAATTAAATAGTTTCATGATATTAATCAAAAATATTTTGGTATGGAAATATTTACTTTTAACTTAATTAAATTTGTTTTGTAGGGATATAAGACATTTGGGCCAAAACTAAAAAGAGAGAGAAGCCCATCAAAAGCCCATTAGCAAGCTTCAGATGTAAGTCGCCACGCCGCGCCGAGCCGAGCCGAGCCGCGTGATTCTCCATGCCACGTGTCATTCTCCATGCCATGTGTCGTTGTCTAAGACTTATAGGCAGAAGATACACAGATAGTAGCCAATATGAGTTACCTACTTCGAATGCCATAGGTGGCTTAATAGTTGGAGACATTGGTGAGTATGAACAATGAGAGGATATTATAGTGCAAGATAAAACAGATACCTTACAAAGAATTACAAAATTACATCCATGTTATATGGTTCTTCAATATCCTTTATTATTTCCCTAGGAGAAGATGGTTACAGAACAAACTTAAAATATAATACAAACAACCAAAATAACAAATATGGAAGGAAAAGAATATTTATGAGAGAATTCTATTGTTATCAACTACAAGAACGCAATATACAAGGCAATACCTTTTTTTGAGGTGGCAAACTGTTCTAGCAATATGTAGTAGATGCTTATATCCTCTGTGGAAGAAGACCGCTTAGACTATATAAGAAAAAAATAAAAAAACTTAAGATTTGAAATTTATCAAGGAATTCAAGATGCTATTACAAGAGGCAACACAAATGCCCAAGCAATAAGAAAAAGAATTATTCTCCCCTCCAGTCATACTGGAAGTCCTAGATATATGATCCAAAACTATCAAGATGTAATGGCGATTTGTAGGCATGATGAAAATCCATATTTATTCATAACATTCACATGTAATTCAAAATGGCCTGAAATTACTAGAGCTTTAGCAAAAATCTAGGACAACAAATTGAAGACAGACCAGACATTATCATAAGAATTTTTAAAATGAAATTAGATAATGTTTTATCCACTATAAAAAATGACAAGATATTTTGAACAGTTGTAGCATGTTAGTTTATTGTTCCCAACTTTTTTTTACTTCATCAGTAGAAAATGAAAGTCACCAATTATTTGTTATAGTAAACGAAAATTAAAACAAATTAATGCTTAATTTTGCAGACTTATATGTTGTGGAGTTTCAGAAACGAGGTAACCACATTGTTTTTTTTTCTGTTTTGGCTCCAGCACGATGAAAAACTGCGCGAACCATCACAAATAGACAAAGTTATTTTTGCAGAAATACTCAATCCTATTAGCAATCTGTAAGAATCACGGACCATGTGGTGTGGCTAAACTAAGTTCTCCATGCATGAAAAATACATAATGCTCAAAAAAATTTCCAAAACAATTAAGAAATGAAACGACAATCAATGAAAATGAATTTGTTAACTATAGACGAAGAAACACAATTTTTTATATAGAAAAAGAAGGAATTACCCAAATTCATAATAAGACCGAAAAATCTTTATTCACGTTTACGTTAAACTTACCCAAACTTCACCATGTAAATTATTTATTTATTTATTTATTATTAATTTTTTTCCTTGGAACGGTGGGAGTGCGGTGGATTGGGTCATCGAGGAGGGGTGGGGATGCCATCTAGAAAATGGGAGGACAACAATTTATTATCGTAATTAGAATATATAACTTCTTTTTATTATTATTATTATTTATTATTTTATTATTATTTTAACTTCTTTTTTATTTTAATAATGTATAATCTTTTTATAATTTTAATTAGAATATAATATTCGTAATTAATTTTTAACCGCGTGTTACGTCAATAAAATATGTTAAATCTATACACGCAAGTGGAGAAATAATTTAATATATTTTTATAAATCAGAAAGTATTTTAAAATGTTTTAAAAAATCACATTTTAAATATGATACATACGTGGGGGTATTTACCAAAATAATCCTAAATCAAGGATATTTTTGCTATTCGGCGGGAGTGAGGTCTATATAATGTTAAACCCTAGCCGCTTTGTTTTCGCGTCTTTCCTTTTCACTTCAGCCTCTCTGTTGGTCAAAACCCTACCTTTCCTTCCTCCCGGTAAAGCCTCTCCTAACGCTAGCTTTCTCTGTATTTTCGTTTTAGGTGTCGAAGGTCGGTATCTCCAGTGTTTCATTTCTCGCATGTTGTTCTCGTGATTTCCGTTTTGGATTTCGTTACTAAAGCTTGTGTAATGATGGTGTTCTTCTCTGTGTAAATGTCTTTTTTTCTTGTTTTTTTGGGAAATTTATGTTTATTTTCGGTGTATTTTTCGTTGAATAGAAATGAACAGTTGATTCCTGTCAAAGAAAAAAAAAGAACAGTGGTTGATTTGTGTGTAGCGTTCCATTTCTTGTGCATTTTTTGTGTTATTTTACGTATTATTTTTATTTTTTTATTTATTTATTTTTATAAAAATCTTCTCTGCTTAGAAAAACAAAAAAGATGAACTAGAAGAAACGAAAAGATATTTGATTTTGATTTTAATTATTGTTATTATTGAAGTTTCTTAGTGAACAAATGGATAAGTCGCCGAAAAATAGCCTTTTTGTTTTTCAAAAAAAAAAAAAAACCCTGATATTATTCTCATGTTTGATGTTTTGATTTCTTAATAAAGAAGAAATTTCATGTCATTTGAGAAACGTGAAAGTGAATGGTGTTTTGTTATGTGTTGTCTTTGAGGACTCTTTGTTTTAGTATTCTGTTTCTTAAGCTAAACTTTAAAAGTTAAAAAGTATAAAGATTTGGTTTTTTCTCTAATGCTTTTGAAGCTTAATCTAGTACTTCTCTCGGTGGCTTGTCTGTTGATGTAGTATATGGTATAGGGGTTTTCCAAATCTTGGGTCCTTTTTGCTGGTCGGAAGCAATATTTTGAGGATATTAGTCTACTTTTTGTCTGCTGATTATCAAATTTCCATCTTTGATATCAAGTGAGTCGCAAATGGCTGTTGGGAAGTGATTTTTAACTGATGCTTTCTTTGCTTGCAGACTTTTTCAAGACCGGACTATAAAGAAATGGCTTTCCTTAGTAAAATTGGCGGCGTCTTGAGGCAGAGCGTTGCTCAGAATGTACAAGCACCAATGCCATCTATGCTTAATTCGATTCGATGGATGTCGACATCCAAGCTCTTCGTGGGAGGTATTAATGAGCGGTTTTTGGAGTTCATATGAATTGTGGATTTATCCTATTAGTGTCATTAAACTTTATTCTTTGATACTCTGTGCTTTTAGGCCTTTCATTTGGAACCGATGACCAATCTCTTAAAGATGCGTTTTCCGGCTTTGGTGAGGTTGTTGATGGTGAGTATATATTTTTATCATTTTGTTCTCCTAAGTTTGTGTTTAGCTTAAAAAAATGATTTTCACTACTTGCATGATTGTTTGTGTAAGCCCTATTATTTTGCCCTTTTATAGTGAATTCTTGCTGGTAGAATACCTGTTGTGATTGCGTGCAAATTTTTGAATCTACTCTCCTAGGGGCTTTATGTAATTCTTATATAGTCTACAGAAATATTTGCCTTTAATAAATTTAGTATTTGTTGTCTTAGTCTTAAGACAAAATGGAAAATCAGTATACTTATAATATGGTTGCCCAAAAGGGGACTTGGATTATTGATGTATGCATATTAGATTAGTTTGTATGATGTATGCAAGGCATTAATCTTCAGATCCACAGAAACAAAAATTTATTTTTATCATCGGTTGGGTTTTCATCTGTTGAACTTGAGAAAGCCATATTTCTGTGATGTATATCCATATTCACTTGGAATTCTTTTAGATTCTAGTTATTTGCTACATGGGATAACTTTACAATTAATTGATATCATTATTTTCGTTTGCCTCCAGTTTTGCTGATTTTGGGTTCATTTTAAAACCTTGTATGCTAGGAGTTTTGTAGCGATTTGGTGTCTCTAGCCTTATTAATCAAGGCCTTTGTTATGGTCCTCATGGGATGACAAATTGTCCAGGCCATTGGATTCTCTACTTTGACTTTATTTGGAATTTTGGCATGTAGGATTCCTTAGTTGGGTCCAAGGTATGTGCGGTAAAACTATATGTATGAAAATCAAAATCCCATGTCTTGAGGTCGTCTTGGATGGTTCTCATGTTGGGAGGCATTTGCTGCGGTTATTTGTTTAAAGTCAGAGTAAAAGCTTTATGCATTTGCTGTGTTATGAATTAAAGGTTCTGGATACGTTATAATCTTAAACAAATATTTTTAATCCTTGTCTTCAGCATTCATTTTTCCTCCTGTTCTTTTGTTTTCCCTTTCACTTTCTCAGTCGATTGTTGTCTGTTGGTATGTTCCTTTGCTGTCTGCCTATTTCCTCTATTCCTTGTAATTCATCTGGTTGTTTTCATGTTATTGTATTCTCAGTGGGTGTTCTGTCTTAATTTTCTGCAGCTAGGGTTATATGTGATAGAGACACTGGGAAGTCAAGGGGTTTTGGTTTCATTAGCTTTTTGACCACAGAGTCTGCTGAATCAGCAGTGTCTACCATGGATGGTCAGGTGAGAATGCAACTTTTATGTAATACTAGTGATGGTCCATGTTCACACACGATGTTGATACTTATACTCTCACCTATAATACATGGTTACCTCAAGCCAACAAAACATTTTTTTCCTTTGCTTTCTTTGGATGCTTGCCAGATTGATTGTTCTTTAATTTATGCTCTTTCTTGCTTTTTTGGTATACTAAATCAATGCAAATGAAACTTGCGAAGCATCCAAATAAAGCACCGGAGAAGAAAAAGAAAATAAACTTGTTAAAAGTAGAAACGAAAGACTTATAATATACTACCAATACGTCTGATACTGCGGTTACAAATTTACACGATTATGTTATGCAGCTTGGTATATGCTTACAAGCCTGGTGTTGTTATTACATAGTAAATCCCCTTGAGAATTGTCACACCTCGATCATCTCGATATGTATGGTAACTGTGACCATGCTTAATTTCAGGATTTGCAAGGGCGAACCATCCGTGTAAGTTATGCTAATGAACGTCCCCCTCGTGGCGGCGGCGGTTACGGTGGTGGTGGCTATGGCGGTGGCGGCGGTGGCGGTGGTTATGGTGGTGGTCGTGGTGGTGGTGGCTATGATCGAGAGAGCTTTTAAACCGGTCATCAGCTGTTGATTGGTTTTTCAGCTTCATTACTTTTTAGAATTAAGGTTTCTAGATTTGCTTTATTACTTGTTCTCGGTGCAATTTAGTGCTGGATTCTCCTTCATGTATGTCGTTACCTAGTAGCATGAGTTTTGATCGTAGAGATCTTCATGTTGCGCACAAGGAGGAATGATTCATTTGTGTTGGGTAATTTCTACATGTTTCAATCAATGAAGATTGTTTTCTTTATTTTTTTCCCCCCAATATGGATCAAGTGATTCGAGATATGCAACTTTTGATAAGAACTGTCTTTTTGAAAGAATCTCAAGATTTTTAAATGCGTGCGTAAAACTGTTTTGTTTTTGTTTTCTTTTGTTTTACTTTAATTTTTGCTATTTCCATGAAAAGTAACCTCAGAAAATAGTACCACAAAAGTGGGGCAGTCAATGCTTTGCGTTTTAAGTAACAAATAAATATTCCTACCCAAAAAAAATTAACAAATCAACATCAATGTTGCAACCGATATATGTACACTTCCTGAAATCTTTAAATTTGTATTACATGCATTTCCACCATTACGGATGTTATCATCTTTGTCTGAAAGTAAATACCGAAGGCAGAGGGATTAAGTAACGTGTTCTTGGCTGTGGAATAGAAAAAAATTCAGAAATGGGAAAAGGAGACAGATAACTCTTAAAAATGTATACATTTTGATTTTGATTTCTTATTGTTGATTAATATTATTTTTAGTGAAATAATTACATTAGTTAAGAGGGTATCAATTAAATGTGAGGTAAAATTCTAGAATGGAGCGAAGAATGTTTGAAGGCCTTCCAGAGCATGAAAATCTACCTGGTTACGTTGCCGCTCCTATCAAAGCCAAGGAACAGGGAAATCCTGCTCGTCTACGTGGCCGTGTCTGAGAAGGCTGTGAATGCGGTACTGATCTGAGAGGAAGAAAAAGTACGACTAGTCTATTTTGTGAGTAAGGCCTTTCAAGGCGCCGATGAGAGATAAATCTACTTAAAAAACTTGCATTATCTCTGGTCACTGTGGCGCGAAAATTGTGAGCCTACTTCAAAGGTCACCCTATTAGGGTGTTGACCATCTACCTGTTGCGGCAGGTCCTGCAGAACTCTGAACTCTCTGGTCGGCTGGCAAAGTGGTCGACAGATTTCGGCGACTTTGACATCACTTTCGTGCCAGGATCGCCATAAAAGCACAAGCTTTGGTGAATTTCTTAGCTGAATTTATGGATAGAGAACTAAGTCTTGTTTGGCCTGCGCCGGAAGTTCCAAGCACAACTTCGAACCCAAGAAGAGGCGAGCTCGCCGAGGAAACTGACCAGGGCATCAGGGATCTCTACGAAGACGGGCGTCGAGCTTAGGGGATTGCTGGGGAAGACTCCTCCTGATCGGCCCTAACGGCTACAGAGCTAGCTATGCCTTGAGGTTCAAGTTTCGAGCATTGAGCAATGAGGCGGAGTACGAAGCCTTGATCGCTTGCCTTAGCCTTGCTCTAGACCTAGAAGTAGACCGGATTCACGTTTTTAGCAATTCGACGCGTCAATCAGGTGCTCGGTTCTTATCAGGTCAAAGGGGAGAGGATGGTCAGGTACTAGAAGAAGGTGGCCGAGTCACTCTGGCAAATAAAAAATCACCAGCTCCCCCAAATACTCAGATCAAAGAATGCCAAGGCCGACGCCCTAGCTCGATTGGCATCCGAGCTTGACAATGAAAATTTGGTCTCCATTCCAGTTGAGCATCTTGACCGGCCTAGCATAGATCAGGAGGTAGTGAATGAAGTAGTCGAGTGAGGTCACCCTTGGATGGACCCTATCATCGAAAACCTTACTTTGGAAAAGCTACATGAGGACTGAGAAGAAGCTCGGCGAATTAGGAATAGTTCAGCTTGGTACATTATGATCAACGACAAGCTTTACCAGAGAGGCTATTCGGCTCTATATTAGAGGTATGTCAGACCAGAAGAAACACATTATTTGATGGAGGAAATTCATTCCGTGGTGTGTGGTAACCACAGCGGGGGATGTTCTCTTTTCCTAAATAATCTTCTCTTTTTTTATATAAATTTGAGTAATATGGATTTTGAGTTTATATTTTTTGATAAAATTTGTTAGGTTGATGATGAAATTAGTTTAAGTTTTGTGGTTTTGAGTATTATGAATGTTGAGTTTTTGTTGTTTGTCTTGAATTTGTTTGGTAGATAATGAAATTTATTTACGTTTTATGGTTTTGAGTTCTATGGATGTTGGGTTTTTGTTGTTTGTCTTGAATTTGTTTGGTAGATGATGAAATTTGTTTGGAAAGAATGTGAAGACTTGGATGAGTGTCCTATATGCCACGTGTCTAGGTGGAAGAAAGGTAAGAAACTGTCTAATGAGAGAAAAGGTGTGCTGGTGAAGGTGTTATGGTACATTCCAATCGAACCAAGATTAAAGCGATCATATTGAAATCCGGAGCATACTAAAACTTTAACTTGGCATCATGATGAGAGGGTTGACGATGCCATGCTACGACACCATGCCGATTCTCTGTTGGGAATGGTGTCCTGGAAGCATGAGATGTGATAGGATATTTATTATTTATTTAATAAAAGGGTTTATTCATCATTTTATGTGTATATATTTGTGAATATTTTATGAATATCAATGAAAATTTCATGATTATTTATGTGACCTTAAACATTGTATATAAGTGTTATATGCGAGAGGATAATGTTTAAGGATAATAATCGAAAAGCGATGTTCGTAATAAATTTAATTAAAGCTCAGAATCTTTAATTAGAACATTACTAATACATGTCATTTCCATTAAGAATGAAATAATGTTATCCGCACTGTTAATATGGTGAGATATTAAATGAGTGTATTACGCATAATGAGATTATGTGGAAGAGGGACACAAACACAATATGAATTTCTAATAGTTTATGTTAAGTATAGAAATTCTAATTGAGTCTACCGATGGTCATATATAGAATGATCTTAATCATGAGTTCTTAACAAACTCCTAATTATGAATTTGTGTCTTTCGATTTACTCAGTACGGATTCTGAGAACCTGAATCATATTTCTTGTATTTTGGAGACATGATGAAATAGGTAGCCGGGAATGTTATTATACGAGATGGAATCCATTCCCTCTTGAGAAAGAAGCAGATAAATAATTCTATTGAGTGTTGATTCGGTACTTGGATTAGTAAGAGCGCTCTTGTTCTTGAATGTATTTTATGAATCACTATCCATTAGAAAATCAATGGTACTCAAGGATGAAGATATAATTAGAGGTGTTAACGGATTCTACCTAGCTCTAATTATGAATTATTTATGGAGGACTGATCTATATGCAGTGACTATATCAAATGGACACTTCACAGTTTAAAAGTAGTTTATGTCTATAATTTTCAGAGTGCAATTCCAAGTTTATAGTGGAGTAACTATTGAAATGAATAGAATTAATTAATTAATTAAAGTGTTTAATTAATTATTAATTTTATTAGAGCTCGGGATTATAGGT